ACGTCAACATCACTTGCACGTGCAAACACAGGAACAAAAGTTTCTCGCTTTGTCACCTTGTGGATACAGCTTAATTGCATATCCAGGCATACAATTTTGTGGTCCGATATACCCTCTAAGATTCGGATAGTTGGATTTCGCTGTAATACCCTGTGGTTGACCAAGAATAGATCCAAGACTGATTGTTTGGTACCTTGGACTCGAGTAGGTGCATGAACAAGTTGTGTTAAATCATGAAACAACACAAGATCAAGAATATGTTCAGCCTCATTTGAAAGCGCATAGGGAAAGTCATTGTCCCAGGCAACGTGGGGAACGTTAAAGTCTCCAACAAGCATTAGATTACTGGAGTGATTTCTATAAGGCAATAAAAAGTTATTAAGCCTTTCGTAGAAAGATATGTCTGAACTAGGGGGCCTATAGAAACCGCCAATTATCAATGCACATTCTTTCAAGATAACCTTCACGACAACACATTCGATTCCTATGATGTCGGGCAGTCTCAACAACTCCAGCGAGTCCTTGAATATAATCGCAACTCCGCCACCACGCGTATCTCTATCGTTTCGAAGGATGCAGTAACCCGAGGGTGTAATTTCGTAATCACCAATGTCGCTGTTAAGCCATGTTTCTGTGATTACTATAATTTCTGGATTGTGCGCGATGACTATGCTTTCCAAATCGGTTGTTTTATTTACGATGCTGCGAGCATTAATGTTTAGGCAAGTAAAACTTTCTGTGTGACTGTGTGGTCACGCATCTTTTTGCCTTGCCCTAGATCGGCGTTTTGAAACTGATACTCTAGTCATTTGTTCGTCGTCCCATTCAAATAGCTCATCATCAATTCTAATTTTATCGTGCACGAGTCTGACTTTCCTTCCCGATTTGCGTAGGTCAGCCGTGCTATCCCAGAGCTGTTTTCTTATTGCCTAGTGGCAGCGGAGAAGTCTTCAGACACTGACATGCGCTTTCCTTTTAGCTTAAAACAGTTTTGTAGAACGGTTATTTTTTCACGATGGTCGAACAATTTCAGTATCACAGGGCGAGGTTTATTTGGTTGGCGACGCCCCATTCTGTGTAATCTTTCTACTGAGTGTACTTCTACTCCCAAAGTATCTTTAAAAAGCTCAGTAACGACCTTCTCGCTTAGGACAACGGTTGATTCATTCTCGCTTTCCGGAATACCAAATACCACAAGGTTGTTGCGTCTGCTTCGGTCTTCTAAATCCACAAGCCTTTTTTCAAGGCACTGCACAGTTTTTTCGATTTGTCAACTTTTTGCAGCTTGGATTCAATGGCGTTTAGCCTTTCTTGTATAAGTTTCTGACCATCAAGTAATTGTTTGAGAAGTTCCGCGGTACTAGGTCCGGGATTGAGCTCTACGTCTCCGCACAACATTAGCAAAGACCGTACAAGATCCCATGTATTCACAAAAAAAGCATGTAGACAGCTTGGGCACGTCAGCTGTATAAAACAACGATTGCTTGTTTTAACTGAGGAGTAATCGACACCAACCTGTACAAAGAACAGGAATGGGTTTGACATGACGCCGTTCCGATGCCAGCCGACGTGCCCACTGCGCGGGTGTTGCTGCAGCCGTCCTTTTATAGCCATAGTCGATGCAGTCGAGGCGCCATCATGCGGTGTAGAAAGATTCAGCACGTGCGGTTCTTGGTCATGGGTAAGCTGCTGATACGGGAGCGTGATGGCATTTATCTTCGTCTGCGTAGTCGATGCGCTGGCCGCCGTAGACACCACAGGCAGGAATACCTGTACAAAGAACAGGAATGGGTTTGACATGACGCCGTTCCGATGCCAGCCGACGTGCCCACTGCGCGGGTGTTGCTGCAGCCGTCCTTTTATAGCCATAGTCGATGCAGTCGAGGCGCCATCATGCGGTGTAGAAAGATTCAGCACGTGCGGTTCTTGGTCATGGGTAAGCTGCTGATACGGGAGCGTGATGGCATTTATCTTCGTCTGCGTAGTCGATGCGCTGGCCGCCGTAGACACCACAGGCAGGAATACCTGTACAAAGAACAGGAATGGGTTTGACATGACGCCGTTCCGATGATCTTTGATCATAAAGCGTCGGGACGATGCTTTCTTGAATGGGAGGCTAATGTCACGGCCGGCTAAAGGCCGGGAAAGAAGAGACAGAGGACGACGAAGTGATGAGCGTGGACAGCACCCACGGTTGCTCCGAGGAAGACCACGTTGAAGCGGCTGCTCTTTTGTTCTGTTAATACATACCTTGTTTTTCCTGGTCGCACCGTTGTCCTGTATCCTGTCAGTTTCACGTCGCTACAATATATGTGGAACCTAGCAATGAATATAGTAAAAACATGATGTTCACTGTACCCAATTAATAAGGAGATATTTTATCTGATATTTGAATTGCGTTACTTACAGGTTAAAATTTAATTGTTCACACAAATTATTTAGAAGCTGTGGGGCACGATATGCAATTAGGGCTCTATAATACTGAGTCCTGGTAGCAGGAACATGAATTATTTACCTACGGAGCGAGTATTTGAGTGAGTGCGCCTTCCTGTGCCCTAATAGTGTGGAATTTATTTTCATAATATAAAGTAATAGCTTATATTCATACACCTCTGCTGCTTTGACTATGCCATGTTTTATAAATAGTGGACTGCTAGACATCTCCCTTGGGTTGCCATAATATTCTTCGAATAGATAGAGGACTTTTTTCTGTAAGAGTTCTAGTTTATTTCAATTATTCTGAATTGTAGTTACCCATACAAGCATACTATCATTGAATCGCGAATAAAACGAAGCGTACTATATCTTTTTTTTTGGCCAAATTGGTATAAGTGAACGTATATCAAATATACACCCAACAGTCTGGCTTAGAATGGATGCAAGACTATCATTATGTGTATTCTAGGACACATTTTCTCGGAACCACACTCCGAGAAATTTTTGCGATTTATTTGCTTCAACTTCTGATTCTTGAAAAAGATAATATTGTCGTCCTCGTAGGGCTTGTTGATAGGATGAAATACGATGTGCTTACGTTTACATATATTAAGCATGAGCTTATTTTGATGAATCATTTTTCTAACTTGAGTAAGTAATCATTTACTTCAGCTTCAAGGTGCATGAGTATTCTACCTGTAAAAGTATGTTAGTGTTGTCAGCGTGAATAATTAATTTTGGATATCGTAAAATGTCACACAGATCAATTTTATAAGTTCTAAATGGTAATGCCTCAAGCATTGAACCCTGCGGTACACCATTTATTATATTTTTCATTGCAGAAACAATGTTACCCACATTTACATATTGTTTTCTTTTGGCAAGATAACTTTCTAATCTTTTAGCTGCCACGCCCGTTACACCGTAATCATGCAACTTGGATATTAGAATATCATGTTTGACTGTGTTGAAGTCTTTCTTCAAATCAATGAAAAAACCCAAGGCGTACGTTCTCTTTTCCATGTTTTTTTAATATCTCCTCTTTCGTATCAAGCAGCGCCGACTCTGTAGACTTGCCATTTTCAAACCCATAATGTGATTTATTGATTATCAGGTGCTTAGTGAAAAAGCATTCAAGTCTGATGTGTATTATTCCTTCAAAAACTTCTCAGAGTGCCGGTAGAACCGATATCGGGCGGTTTCGATAATACATTTTTGGCACCCTCTTTATGAATAGGACAGAGCGTTCTGAAGGAAAAATGCCAGTTGCTAACATAGTGTTCATTATGTGTGAAAGACGGTGTGTTGTTAGTGGCGCTACAAAATTTATCGGGCTGGCTGCCATTTCGTCAACACCTGCAGCAACATTGCCACGTATTCGACAAATAAATTTTTCTACTTCACAAGGTGTGACCGAAGTAAGGAATAGGGAGTGTGATTGACGCTTTCCATCTGCTATAGGCGGATCTGTTGCACCACAAGATGAGTCTGTGTAGTCACTAGCATGATGATGTCCATAACATTTCTTGCAGCATCGTCCTGTAAAAAGCTTTTAGCTTGCAGCCATCATGTGCCTACGACGCGTTCGCAAAGGAAAGGCGTGACACTTCCATTTATATTATGTGGTAAAGCGTAGGAATTGCCAAATTTATTTGGACATTGTCAAAGTAATTCATGATGTGCTCGGAACTCTCTACAGCAACAAAATTAGAAATGTGTGCAAATGGGTACGATGGGAGTACTTCTAACTATCCGCTAGCTGACCGGCACCAAAGCTCCCTTCCCACCGAAAACCGTCGCAGGTGCGAGGTCCCGTGCTTTGCGCTCGCTTTCTTTCATGATTTATTGCGCAAGAGAATAAACCTCTCTGGGGCGAATTTGTCCTCTTGGCGGATGTCATAGGAAGTGCGAGCTGCACTCTCTGGCTGTCACTGTCCTCAGTATCAATGGTTCATTCGGTTAAAACGGAGGACACCAAAGTTGCAAATAGGCGCGTAAGAGCTGCCTACTAAAAGCACCACCAGGGAGGTGTATAGCATTTAAACGACCGCAGCTGACTTCCTTCAGGGTGCTCCACTGATATAATGCATCGTAGCCACTTGTATATTCGAAATCATGGTTTCAGGGAGTTTATGTTCTTCGACAAATTCATCTTGCGCGTCAGAGTGTTTTTAACGAAAAACGTGGCATAATTATTCCCCTAACGTCTCGTAAATTATATTTTGTGAGGATCCATGCATAGTCGTGTAGACAAAACCATAATTTTCCCGATTCATAATTCATACGAGGTCCACAAATGAATTCCACAGACATGTTTTTTCTTGTTATTTACCCATCACTAAAAAAGCTGACCGAGGCAAGCCTATGTACCTACACAACTGGCCTCTTCTCTGTAATAGAAGGTTAGGTGTGACTGTCCTAAAGAAGTGAAAGGGCGTGTGCGTGCAGCGTACGTGGGTGCACTAATAATGGTTGTGACTTACAAAAGTATTCATGCAAATAGCTGCGTTGAGCTGATCTTTGAGTGTGACGGTGTCTCAGTTCTCGCGGATTAAAACTTGCAGGTCAGCGGGGCTGAGCAGCTGACACGGCGGGAGCTATTCTCACGCATTCAACGCTACGCTGCAGGCTTCCAGCAGCATGGTGTCTCAGCGGGTGACCGCGTTTGCGTTCACTTGAGCAACACTATAGACAACGTGGCTGCTATGTACGGCTGCATATTTGCGGGTGCCTGCTTGGTTCTGGCGAAGACATCCCTGAGAGAAGGTTAGTTTCTCAAAACCATCAAATACACTAAAACTGTAACCACAACTCGTACTTCATAAAAAAAATCTACGCAACTCCCGAAAAAGAATCATCATGAGTGGGCAAAGCACTGGATATTGTATCGGTGAGTAACTGTACTTCATCTGAGCGTTGTTCTATACAATGTATATTGAGTGGCATAAAAATTAGTAATTGCATTTAATTGAGTGACAGAAGGAATGAACGTATGAATGAACTTTTTTTAAAGTACGCCAGTTTCCTGCGGGTGAGACAGGGGCGTAGTGGGATTAAGCCCTCTTCCATTTGTACCACCCTCAATGATGAAATGTTTTTTAGGGGTGAAGCTCCTTATGGCGTGGCTTATGCGTCCCTCGTAGTACGTAACCACCAGTGGCACATACCCGAAATAGGTATAACATTTGACCTCCAAGGTGGTGCCGGTGAGAGATTTCTTCTGTGCGTTGTTTAACAATAAAATATAGTGCTCAATGTGCATGCCAATGGCTGCTAATGGAGAATGAGAGACAAGAGCATTCGGCTTTTAGTCAACGCGCACGCTGCGATCCCCATAAGCAGCCATTGGCATGTACATTCAGCACTATCGGACAAGAAAGGGCTGCTACATTATACTCGCTGGGTGTAACCTCCTTAGTTTTAGAAAGGTTTAGCGAGCGTTGAGCCGCAGGGCCATGAATACAATGAACAAGTATATACCATGAATGAATTCGAGGTGGTTAAAGGGGGGAAGCAGATACTAAGCGCAAGCCGTAAGAAAGTAAAAGCTGAATCCTCCTGTCTCTCATTTCACATTAGCAGCCACTGGCATGTACATTAGCAGCCACTGGCATGCACATTAGCAGCCACTGGCATGTACAACGCGTTCGATGCTCTAACCATCGCATCGAACGCGTTGTTCGAAGGTCGTAGGTTCGATTCCTGCTCACGGCTGGTTATTTTTCATCCACTTTTCTTTCTTCTTATTTACATTTCGTTAGGTTCTAATAACTTCCCCTGTACATTCCTTGGCATTACTGTCTGTTAGATCTCATTATTATTGTGTCAAAATACGGAAAAACGAGCCCTTAGGTATACACTTTTTTCCCTTATTTCATTTAACGAGGGTCTCGTACTGGCATACTTGGTGTCATTAGGTTGTATAAGAGGGACTAATATTCAGCTGCCCGCTCGTAATAAGTTCACGTGCTACGTGACGCCAAATATGCGCATAAAGAGTGGTTCACACTCGTCGCTTGGCTTATAGATGGCGCTGACTGTCACTCCTACTTCTAAATTCAAATATAACCCCCCCCCCCCCCCCCAAAAAAAAGTGAATGGAGGGAAGGCTGCTGTGGTAGCTCAGTGGTTAGAGCATCGAGGTCATAGGTTCGATTCCTGCTCACGGCTGGTTATTTTTTCATCCACTTTTCTTTCTTCTTATTTACATTCCATTGGTTCTAATAACTTCCCCTGTACATTCCTTGGAATTACTGTCTGTTAGATCTCATTATTATACATATATATATATATATATATATATATATATATATATATATATATATATATATATATATATATATATATACGGAGCATGATGGCACCGTCATTGACGGACATTGACGTGGTACGGCAAAAATAAGGTGCGAGGGTCCATATATCTGCTATTGTGAGAAAATCGCCTAGTTAGACTGAAGAAAGGTAAGAGGTTAAGGTCCTCTTATCGTTCGGTGAATACAGAGCTATGGCAATGCAGATTCCTTGACACTGTTTAAGTCATGTTCTTTATGTTCTTTGCAGGAGAGCTACGCTATCAGCTGGAAGACAGTGACAGCACGCACGTTCTATCAGATGTCCAGTTCGCAGAGAAAGTGAAGAAGGCAACTGCGCCTCTAGCTCTCGAAGGTGCAATAGTGAACATCATTCATTTTTATTTGAGTTTCTTCACTACACTCGTCACAGACACCAGAGTTCTAGTAAATCGGTCTTTGGTGGATTGAACTAAACTGAGCTTCATAAATGCGTCATTTGGGCACGTTACAGTATTATGACAGAAGGAAATATGAAAAGCGGCGCATGGAAACAAGCTTTAAGTAACTGATGACGACAGCCTAGGTAAAGAACAAATTAGCTCACTTTTGAAAATGTCGACAATGTTTTCCTTTATAGCTTTTTTTTTTCCAACTAGACACACGTGATAGGGACGGCAGTGTACAATAGATGGACCACCTGTATAAATTTCATGTGCTATAGTAGCAGTTTTAGCCAAAACGTACGAGTAAACATCGAAAAAAGCTTCGTTTTTCTGTAGCAATACCAGCAGCTGCTGCGTCTGTTTAGCTGTCAAGTCATTGCTGATGGCGACGGAAGAGGTGGAGGAAGAAGCATGCTCATCAATGGAGGGGTTCGGCAATGAGAGGGATCCAACGGCTTGAAGCGGCATGACAAGTATACCTGCTACTGGTCGGCCACATCGGTCAGCATAGTGCTTAGCGGCTGTACAAACCTCGCCGATGTAGAATTAAAGGCGGGGACGAGAGCAGATCCTGTGGGAAAACGAATGAAACCAGGCGGAAGATCGATGCCTCTGAGAACGCAAAAAAGTAATTGGGAGATCGAATACGTCGCTACGGTAAACCTAATGGTGACGCCTTTATCTTGAAGTGGTGGCAGTTCAGTGTCTTCCACAGCGACCTGATGAAGTGGCTGCTGTGTGTCATCATCGAACATGTAGTTAGTGCCAGTGAAGTGAAAGGCATGTTGTCCCATCAAATAGGCGCAGAAGTGGATGACAGCAAATTGCATCCTAAATCTAGTTGGTATGAGCAGCGAGACAGGACAGCAAACGGGATATGAGGGCGGATACCGTTGATAAAAACATGGACGGTGCAAAACGCGGATAGGCGAATGGTCTCCCCTCAGGCAGAAACTAACGTTTGTTCACTGTAAGGCGTCATCACTTTCTCCGAGGTGTTGACACAAATCACCCCGAAGAATACAGATGTTGCTCTCGTGTCAACCAAATCAGTGCACCTGCGTTTTTTCACCACCACAAAGACTATGCTGCCCGTGTCTGATGAAGGAATTTAACTCATAATTTGGAATACATTTTTCCCTCGAAAAAGTGCATCACTGAGTTTAGGAATGATTATTTTGTAGTGAACGAGGTGGGCTGAAGTGGACAACAGCAGCGCACAAAGGGCGCGGCCAGCCGCATCCTGCAGATCGGTGTTTCCCTGCTACAATCGATGCGGGCGGAGGTGGAGACTCATGCGGTAATCACGAATAGCGCTGATCTTGATATAGGGCTTAAGTGAACAAGTTACGTTCACGCATGTCGAAATCCCGACGGTCTTCTTGCTTGCGCTTTCGGCAGAAACGAGATATGTGTATGCGATACCCGCTTTAATAGCATTCAGGGCAGATCGAGTGCCAAAGTGGTGATTAGAATAACTTCGGAGATCCTGGACAGAACATGATCTGGTGGGTCAATGAAGAGTCAGGTGGCGTCGAATGGAAATTGAGGGGGGGCGGGGTGGGGAAGCGGCAGCAACCGACGCGTATTATGGTAGCGGCAATGTACACGTTTACGTCACCAGAAGCCGTGGCAGAAACTCGAGCGTAGGTTAGTATGGGCCGAGAATAAGGCAGGACCAGTCAGGGAGGCGAGCTGCTGATGGTACCGCGTTAGGCCGTTTCAGAAGTCTCTTTGTAGAACGTGGTGAAGGAGTTGTGAAGCCCCTATACGGCAACATTTTTTGTATGATGACCCACATTAGGTCACGGAGATGTCCATGAGACGTACAGTGTTATTCGCCAATGTCTGTTTAGAGACGAACCGAGTCCAGTGCATCGAGACGCTGACATGTCGTGACGATGTCAGGGATGGTAGCGGGAATCAGTGCAGCAAGGGCATTAAAAGCAACTGTTTCGATATCATTCAAAATATAGCGAAATTTTTCCCCATTCCGGCATATACAAATTGACACAGCTACATAGCGCAAGAACCTACTCGACGTACGACGTGTATTACTCACAAGGATGTTGTAGGCGAGTATGTAGGGTCCTCTTCGCCACTACGAGCCGAATGGCCACCTGTTCCAAAAACAGGTCAGAGCTGCTACTACAAGCTGACCCTGTCGGGTAATTCAATGATGCGGTAGAAATACCATGCCTCGGTGACGTCAGTCACATCAAAAAGGACGTAACGCAGTTTGGCAGCCTCATCCCTTTCACTAATGGCACTCACGATCTCATAGTCATCGAGCTAGTCCTTGACGTCTTCTCTACGAGAACCACCAAAGAGCGGGTGGTCAAGCTGGTGTCCGTGTATAGGAGGCTCGACCTGCTTTGACGAGCGGGTGATCGCATCAGCGCTGACAGGCTTGTTTTGCCACATGCTGCTGGACAGAGGGCACAAGCCGCGGCCTTAACCAAGTTTCAGGTCGTAGAGTAGGCTGGGGGAGCGCCGAGGACTTACAATCCACCTCCACCTCGTATAAAGCCCTGGTTTTGACGGCGTTTATTTGAGGAAGACCGGGCAGAAAATGAACGGGTAGAACGCGGACACACGGTGGCAATGATTTTGTTTTGTCGACTAAAATAACTCGGCAATGGTAATGAAACATGGTGCCGATGCAGACAAAGAGACCAACAAATAATGATTTACAATACTGCACAGCTTACAAAAAAGTGCAAAGCAAATGCACACAATATATTCATGTGCATGTCCATTTATGACTACTTTAAGATATATATTGTGCTATAGATGACCACAAGAGCGCCTATGCGTTAGATAGATAGATAGATAGATAGATAGATAGATAGATAGATCAATAGATAGATAGATTCTTTACCATACATTACGCCACATAGAGTGTTTTTAGACGAGGCTCCAGGCATGGCTTTGTGGTGTAATATGGGACTGCTACAGAGTGTCCAGGTCAAATCCCATCTGGTGCAGAATTTTTGTGATTTTGTTTGTAACAGAAAAAGCAAAGCAAAAGCAAAGCAAAAGCAAAGGGCGTCGTAGCCTTTTGCTTTTACTATCGCGATGGTGAAAAACTAGAGGGGCGAAATTGACCGCTATTCTAATCTCGTTACAACTTCCGGAGTAAACTCGCAGTTTTAGGCGAATTCAAACTGTAGCCTTCTGCGTGAAAGTCAGATATTCTACCACAGAGCAACACCAGTGCTTAAAAAAAGTCATATACAAGCGTCTAGTCGGGGCAAGGGCAGTAGTGGGTGCAATATTCCGTATGCGCTTTCAGAGCAATGTATTCAATGCTTGAAGTAACGCACAATAAAAAGGTGACCTGAGTTGCAGCTAGTAGCATTATTTAGTTCCGTGCAGTTAATGAAAACTACAGCAAAAAAAGCAGTTGTGCCGTCACTTCATTATCGTTTTGAAATGATTTGCCAACCACTACCTAATATCTCACCTCTTCTCTCTATTTCCTTCCTATTTTTTCTTTCCACTTTACTTCCCCCTTCCCTGTTCCTAAAGGCGCTGAGTGTTGTTCTTTGGCGAAATTCTCTCTCTCTTCTCAATATTTTACATTAACGTTAGGCATCCCTACCGGCACGACGTGTGCGGATGCCACGACTCACGTCAAATTAATTTTTTTAGTCGAACGGTCAGTTTATTCCTGCTTCGCTTCATTATGTTATCTTGTTCTGAACATAGGCATTTTATCTAATATGTTTTGCTTTCGCCAAACATTTCGTTCACTGGAGCTGTTAGTTATTACCCTAAGGTTTGTTAGTTACCCAATGGTCCTACTACACTTCATTTCAGGATCATGGCCTGTGTATTTGTTGATCGTTTACTTCTATTTCTGAAAGCAATGAACTCCAAATAAGTTGAAGGCTGGACAGCAAGGTTTAGTGTCGCATAGCTTGCGTAGACCGACGACCGCTACTTATGTGCATCACCGCACAACACTGTGCACTTTGTCGTGCTATTGTTTTTTTTTAGCTGTGCTGTAACATGGGTGCCACTGTTACGTCGGACAATCATTAACCCTTTACACATCAGTGTGCTCAACGTGTCTCGCAAATGTGTACGAAACTTTCACACGCGCAAAGACGTTAATCTAGCTGGTAGCACATGGCTGAACGAACAATCAGCTGTAGGCTGGCATGAGCTGACTGCTTCGCATAAAATCAGCTGCCACAATAGGTACGATCTGCCGAATTTCGAAGATCACATGCGTTTCGTACGCAACGTTTTATTTAGTTTTTGTTGTTTTTTGCAGCGCTTAAGGCCTTCGCTTTACATATAAACATGGTTATATAGTTAAGAGTCTGACTGAATTCCGTCTGGTCGGGGCATAGTGCAAATAACAAAAACGCCGACCAAGGTGAAATACACAAAAGTTAAAAAGACGTTTCGGCTCCCCACACGGCAGCCTTGTTCACTGTGACAAAACTTAAAAAGACTGTGAACAAGGCTCCCGTGTGGGGAGCCGAAACGTCTTTTTAAGTTTTGTGTATTTCACCTTGGTCGGCGTTTTTGTTATTTTGCACCCTGAGCATGGTTAACATGTGAGCTTCATCTTCCGCAGGGCCTGTTCACCATGGGAGAAGCTGAGGGCTTCGTGTCAGCGGCAACCTTCAAGAACATGAATGAAGCCTTCTTCCAGGAATATCCTGTTGGAGACCCGAAGAACACTTTGCTGGCTATAATATATACGTCCGGAACCACAGGGCTCCCGAAAGGCGTGGAGTTTACGCATTACGGATTCGTGGCCAACCACTTTACAATGAAGTGAGCCCTACTGCTGTAGTAGTTCGAGCTTTATTTATATTTAACAGCACACCTATCTATGCTCACTGTTCTACCATTTTTTTGCCCCGCCACGTTGGTCTAGTGGCTAAGGTACTCGGCTGCTGACCCGCAGGTCGCGGGTTCGATTCCCGGCTGCGGCGGCGATGGAGGCGGAAATGTTGTAGGCCCGTGTGCTCAGATTTGGATGCACGTTAAAGAACCCCAGGTGGTCGAAATTTCCGGAGCCCTCCACTATGGCGTCTCTCATAATCATATGGTGGTTTTGGGACGTTCAACCCCACAATTCGATTCTGTTCTACCATTTCACGTTCGCAAAAAGTATCATCATTATAAATGGTCTCTGCCTTTCTAGCACGTACAGCGCAACAGCTCACCTGCTGCTGCTGCTGCTGCTGCTGCTGCTGATGATGATGATGATGAGGATGGTGGTGATAATGCCTCAAATATGGCTCATACTCACTCGGGTGTTCAACTAAGAATTGATTATAAGAGTCTGTGAGACGTTCGGATTCTAAGATTCAGGACGGGTTTCGGGGAACGGGTTGGATCTGGAAGGTGTGTCTGCAAGGCTCTGGCACTCTCATCCTTTCATCGATGTGGTAGTCATAGTTGATGTATACCCGGCCGAAGAGGCAGCGACCGCAATGTGTCTCTGCAAAACGCATGTATTTGTTTATGCGGTGGGCTTCTGGAAGTTCCCTGCAGGTATTTACCACGCATAGGGCCAAAAGTCTCTGGTTGACCATGGGCATAGAGAGGTCGAGAGACTGCCTGATGACTTTTCGGTGAATGACCTCGAGTTGGCCATCATTGTGTTTGTGTAGAGCAAGTAGGGGGTCGAGTAGAGTGTTCTACTCATTACGAAAGCATCTGAAGCGGCAATAAATTCTTGCTTCGTAATCTGCCCTGCTTGTTGGAGACCCGGCGGACCACACAGTCCACGTGGTCTCCCGCCGTATAGTTTGGCTATTGTGGTGTCGCCCTTGCGTTGATGGTGTATAGAAAAGCCAACGACGCGGACCACCTTGGTCTCACAGATTGGCCCTGAAAAACGACTGATGTGTAGCTAAGTTGTGTACTGAGGAGAGGGACGTACGTGGACAAATTCAGACTTTGTCGGGGCACACTGGAGTCAGCAGTAGGTTGCGTAGTCGTCGACTACAGCCAGTGCTGCTTGCACGCATGGCGCTGAGTGACACAGCTAGGTTACCTTGCGTGAGCCTCATCGTAATATCATCCGCGTGAAGAGTTTGATGTATCCCTGGTAGAGAACCCGGTTTGGCGCGAATAGAATGCATGGCTAAATTAATTAGGAGGGGAGAGGGAGCCGCGACTTGAGGTATTCCTCTCGAGCCTATGGCGTAAAGCCTATATTCCTAATCTTGTATGGGCATGTAGGATTGATGGTCTGTGAAAAACTTTCTAATATAGTTGAATCTGTTGTAAACACAGCTCGTCTGACTTACGTGGTCCAGGATTACCTCATGCTTCATGTAGTCGAATGCCCCTAAAAGAACCAAGGCCAGGACTACCTTGTCATTGTGGGAACATTCTACAGGATCTAATATGTCATGGTGGAGCTGCAAAAGTATATCCTGAGCTTACTTCTGAGGGTGGAAACCAAACATGGTGTCGGAAAAAGTGTGCTCTGTATCTAGAAAATCGGATTGGACAGTCTGTCACGCACCACCGTGTCCATCAGTTTGCCGACGCATGACATGAGGGATATGGGTCGAGGGTTCTGCACATCCATAGGTTTATCGGCATCTGGGACGAAGGTCACGAGAGGCGATTTCCAGTTAAAAGGGAGATGAATTTCTCCGTCCCTAATTCTCTTGGTGTGTTTGACAAGAGTGGCGTAGGCAGCGTCGCGAAAAGTGGCCAAGAGTTTCACCATAACCTGGAACGCCCGGGCGCAGTCCCACGCTTCATCTTGCACAAGGCCGCCCAGAATTCGTGGAGTTGTAACGGGGTGTCCAGGTGCAGGTTCTCTTACCCTGCATACCATTATGCGGCCACACGGGGGTCCTCGATGGTGCACAAGTATCGGTCCCTGAACGTGTATGTGCCATCTGTGATGTCCCTCTTGTAAAGTTGCGCATAACCTTATGTAAGTCACGTAGGCTTTCCGTGCTTGCTAGTGTTGGATCCACGAAAGCGTCAAACAGGCGCCACGTGTTGTGGCGAGACATCTGGAATGCAGCCGTGTTGCACCGGTTCACACAGTTAGTTTCGGCTAGCTGAGCTGCAAACTCCAGAGCTTTCTGCTTGAGTTCGAGGATGCGCTTCTTGATGCGACTGCTATGATTCTGTTTTTTTCCATCACCTAGTAGGTTATGGCCGGCGTCCCAAAAGTAGAGGAGGTGGTTTTATACGTCCATTTCCGTGAGTTGTATAAGCCGTTCGCTTTCATTTTTTTAGTGTGGAAGTCAGTGATTTGGGCCAGGTGACCTATTCAACCTGAAGGGGCTATAAATTAGATAGAGAGGTGCGGAAAGTCATCCAGTCTGGGACACGAGCTTGAGTTAGTTGGCGTTTTGAGGGTCGCATGTAGACGGTTGCGTTTACAACACAATGATCCCTACTGAGAGTGTCATGTGTGTTCAACCAGTTGGCATAGCGCATATTGCGTTTAAATGTGAGGTCCTTGCAAGTATCTTGTTCAACAGAGCTGCCTACACGTGTTGGGCTAGCGGGTTCAGTGTGGAGGGTGAGTCTAAGTTTAGAAAGAAGTTGGAAAAATCATGCGAAATTACTGCCTGAAGCCCGATTAGTTATCAGCCAGCTTGTTCACTTCAGGTGTCCAATTACTAAAGTACAGATAATAATTTATGCACATGAGATAAAAGTGGCTAACCCTATCGCACACGACAACGAGCAGCGTTATACACGGGTTTGGCAGCGTGCGTTAGAAACAACGCCCTAAGGCAAAATTACTCGAAAAAGGGGTAACGGAGCCCAATAGGCGCGCGCGATGAACGGATAGATCGTTGAGGAGCAACCACAGAGGGAAGCGTGCCACGCGTAAACCACTTAGTCTCCAAACTCGCTCCAAAGAGATGAACCACCCGGAAAAAGCAGGCAATGAGAAAAGCAAAGCGTGTCCAAGGTGTCCAGCCCCCCTTCTCCTCCTCTGCTGGCTCAGTCTTTCCCGTATTTTGCCGTCGACGGTTCGCGTTTCGTCGCGCTCGGAGTGCTCGACCACGGCCGCCTGAATTTAACGATCTAAGAATTACGACGTGGTGCTTGTGTGTACGGTTGGGTGAGCGTGGGCTGCTGCTTTGACGTTTCGTCGCACCCATGAAGTCTGGAGCAAGTCTCGACACGTCACCACGCCGCGCTGTATATCTCTAACTTCAAGATAGTCACGACCAACACATGGCAGCAACAGTTCGCAAGGCCAATATGGCGGCCGAGAAGACAGCAGGCCTAATGGATGTATACTTCTGTCCGACGCAGGGCAGAAATCAGCGCTGGATCCTTAAGCAAGTAGGTTATCATTCTATATTCTACTCTATCGCGTGAGCGATACGGATCACGCTTGCCGGCAATGGGCTTGGTCGTGTTGTATATCGCACGCACGAAACGCATCGCGAAGGTGAGCTTCTGCGTCTTCAGTTCGCCTGTGCGTTGCAACCACCTGGAAATTGACCGCCATTGTCGTCGGCCTCCCGTACGCTCGCTCATCGAGTGCTCGCCTGTCTTCGCCGCCGCGATGAGCTTCGGGCTGATGATACTGGGCTGAGACCTCGTCGCTGTCTTGGGAGTCGTCGAAAGCACATTGCGGGTTCTCGTAAAGAGTTAGGTTGTAGTATGTCGCGCGCTGTAAGTGCACCAGCACGGGCTGGCGAGGCTTTCGCTAGCGTCGGAACTCACTGATAATTGGTCACCATTCCAGTTGGCGTTCCCGTCATCCGGTCGCAAGCAGCTCGGCGCCGTCCGTTGGCCGCGGTGGCGGACTCGCGTTTGCCCGCTGTACTCGTTCGAGTTTGTGGAAAAGGGCCGCATTACCATCGATTTCTTAGGCGCTAGCTCCAAACCAGCTCCGCGCTGTTCGTGGCGGCGGCCAAGCGTATGCTCGCTCTCCTGTTCGAAGTTCGCTGGCGGCAGACACTCCGCGTGCCGCGCCGTTTGGTCTCGCGTTCGCTTGCTCGTGCTGAACAACGTCGCTCGCTTAGGACTCACCGACTTGTTAGCGTCACGGTAAGTCGCGGAGTTCTGGCTGCGGTCGCCGCTCCTAAGCTGTTGCGATATGGGGATCGAAATGAGTCTTTGACGATGAGTGACTTCACGGTGAAATTATTAGGATGTCATATCTCAAGTATATTTTCATTTCACCTTGCACGTATTTCTCATATGCATTTGTATTCATCCTCTGTCACGTGTGACTCACCATTTTACATACCGTTTCTGTAGCCGTGGGCACACACCGTGCTGAAGACTGTGTGCGCTAGCGTCTGCAATGCCTGTCGTCCATCTATTTCGTCAGAGCAGCTTCAGAAGGACTGTGCGAGATGTGAAGGTAAATTTATTTGTGTGTCATTTTTTACACGCATGCTTTTATATTAATGAGCACGTACTTGTCATATGCGTGCATCTTCATCTACTGTCACGTGTGTCTAAATATTCTTACTATAATATTGCACGTGCAGCCGCGGGAACACAACAGGCAGAAGGCTGCGTGTGCTGGCGTCTGCAATGCCTGTCACCTATCGCTTCCGTCAGAGGAGCTCCACAAGGAGTGAACAAGATGTGACAACGAGACTGGACTTGTGCGCTTCACGATGAATTCACTTAAAAGAAGGGAAAAACTTCATGTGTATGTTGACAAATTCAAGATTTTGATGTCTCACTTTTGTCGTTCATTGTTGCCGTGACTGCGAAAGCAGTTACACATAGGTGGCTAACAACTTTTTCGCGTGTTCTTTTCTGTGCAATTTGTTGCTCACTGCGCAAATAAACAGGCGAAAAAAGTATTGGTCCTGGCGGAAAATAAACAAAAAACAGTGTTTGATCTGGGGACAAAAAGTTCATCCTTTTTGAGTATTTGAGTTGATCAACGGTTCATCTGGCAAGGTGCAACTGAGAGGACGAATGGTTGCCGGGTAAAGTGTAAATGTGAGGATTAACGGATGCTCTATAAGGTGCGAATTTGAGGACTAAATGTTAGTCCTTTGAGGTGAATTGTGGGACTAATGGTTACTCGCTAAGGTGTAAATGTGAAGACTAAATGTTAGTTTCTTGAGCTCGTCTGTGGGGTGTACCTGTTAGACCCGGTGCCGTTAGTCCCGAAAGAGATTAATGGTTGTGGTAGCCCCATTAGTCCCCAAAAGAACGAACCACACACCCTTTAACACCCTTTTGCCTTAGAGTGTAGAGTGAATGTTGGCACACAAACATGAAAAAGCACTACCCGCCCGTGCGTTTTTTTACTGTGGTCTTTTTTGTGATACTCGAACGCGGAAATTTTGTTTTGTCTATCGGTCGACTTGCCTTTGTGTAAACCGAAACGGCCGAAGTTCAACCACACCCGCTGCGCTCACCAATATTGATTTGGTTTCCGCGTTCATACTTGTACAATTGTCAATTAAAAAGCAATTACTGCGCAAATATGGGGCACAATATCGATACTTCAAAAGTTTGTGATGTGTTTCTTTATACTATAAACAACATACATAAGTAATTCTAAGAACTGTAGCGTTCATTACGCTCCACTGACATTGTGACACCATGCAAGAAAAGGCGGGCGTTTCCTACCCTTTTCAAAAGCCATGCGGTGCTGCCACCTCCTTTGCAATCTACAAACTACGGCGTCTGAGATTGCGGGCCCATGGCGCATGCTTGCATTATTGGAGGGCAGTGCAGCCAACTCTAGGAAAGTTTCCCTAGATCTAGAAATTTCCGGTTGTATTTAGGGGAAAAGGGAAATTTGTCAACATCTAGGGAAATGTTTGCTTCCACGTGAAGCAAGCAGATGGACAGATGCATAGAGTCTCATGCAGTAATACTGATATGTAATTCTATGGATAGAGGGACGTCTTGCCCACAACCCCTGTTTTGTTCCTTCATGCACCTTTTCTCTTTTAACCCCCTCTACACTCACCAAAAAGCGCTGTGCCATGCCCAGCAGTGGTGTCAAGAGGTGCAAGGGGGGACGGGGCCGGTCGCCGTCCCCAACGCTGTGTCAGCGCTCTTCTGTCCCCCACTTCATTGCAGTTCATTCCATGAAGTCCGTGTTCGACGTCGAGTGCCTTAATTCCTGTTCGAACCAAAGAAAATGTGCTCTCACTCGAGCTCGCCAAGTATATATATGGTTTCCTTGACACCAACCTCCCATTTTCTCGCCTTTCACCCGCAGCGTTATTTCTTCGTTCTGTTGTTGTTGTTTTTTCGGTTTCCCTTTTTTGTGCACGCTGTCGTGTTGCTAGTGAGCTGGCCCGCGGAGCCATGTGATTCCGCCCAGGTTACCAAGGTTTCTGTGAGAAGCACAGCCAGAACAGTAGGCTGCGTGTATGTGGTTATTTGCACAGCTGAAAAAGAAAGTTGAAAAAAAGTGCCTGGTGGAAGAATGCATGAATATATTAGGAACGGATATAGGCAGTCAACATTTTTAACAAACATATCTTCTCGTTACTATTCAGCAGGTTGCGAGGGATGAACTGCCACACGGCATAATATGCTTTCATGGTTAACCAATTTTAGTCACGATATCCTGCATCAAATATTATGAAAAGGATTGAGAGTGACGTTTTTCAAGACATTGTTTACAATTTTAGTAAGCGTGCATCACTTCATGTTTTATATGAACACCACCAAGCATTTTCGGCAGGAGAGTTGCGAAATAACAGAATTGATGATTAATTTTTGAAAGCTTGCTCACCGGAATATTTCAAGTACTACGCTTTATATGCTCGTTCTCATTATTATTATTATTATTATTATTATTATTATTATTATTATTATTATTATTATTATTATTATTATTACGTAACTTACGTGCTATTACAAGTGCACTGTATTGTAGTGTAAGATTTCATGTTTTTCATTGAACACGTAGCAGTGTTTTCAAATATTATTTTGATAATTCATTCTTTCTTCAACCTTTATGCAATGCCTTTTTCTTGGTGACTTGCCTAAAATACTGCAATACTACATGCCCCTCCCCCTCCCCCTTTTTGTGATGACCGCTTACCTTTGTGATTTCATGAGATAAAATGTTGTTTAAAGCGTTTCAATTTGTACTGATACAGTTTTTAACCTTCAGCACGGTAATTTTAGTGAATATTTTCAAACGAATGCACTAATGCATTATAAAAGGAAACTTGGCAATCGTTTTCCACAGCAAAAACACATATTAGTCTTCAAGAAACTGCTCTCCATGCAAATCTAGGGAAATCTAGAGAATTTTTTTGCTCCAGAGAGGCAAGAAGTAGCTGCGCAGGTTGGCAATACTGTTGGAGGGCTTCCTTTCGTTTTCCCAGAATACTGCCAGGAATAAACGTTTTGTTCACCATCTCCAGAAGAAAGACTAGCTATCATCTTTCGGCGACACTTGCTATCAAACAAGTAGATATGAGGCCAATTTTGTTTATTGTGACGTTTCTATATCTTTCTGGCTGTGTTGCTGATGCCACTGCAAGAAAGATGTCAGAATATTCACTTTGGCCTCAAGGGAGTATGAAGCATCGTCTTGGAAACTGCATGATTACCCTCTGTCAACTGGCTACGAGGGAACATCTGTGCCATTCACTATGCACTTAAAGAGCTTCTTTTTCTTTGAAGGCAACCCTTATATAAGTAAATAGAACACATAAAACACACATTGAAACCTACTTCAGGTGCCGTCAGGGACATTTAGATGGATGGGTGAAAAGCTTTTATTGGGGTCCTGAAGGATTCCACCCACGTTTTATAGGCATAAGATTCAATCAAACAAAAGTTTATTCAAAATAAGCTCAGTAATACCGCTCAATCACACCTTTTCTTGTTAGTTTTGCTCTGTTTTATGTTCGTGCTTTGCGCGTGACCGAACACTAACTAGTCTACGGAGCTACAAAGCAAAGCGTGTTAATTAAGACTACTTGTAACCATTGCGTCCCTGCCTTGTATAAACTAACAAAGCTAACGTGGAATGAACACAATGGCTCCGTAAATTATAGCGCTAGCACGCGATTAACTTAGAAGATATTTTTCCCGTGCTTCTACAGCTTTCAAGCTTTTATTGAAGAAAATACTACTCCGCTGAAAGCTCGTATACAAAGCCTAGGTTTGGGACCTATTTCATGATGACCTTGTTCACTCACTTGAAATCCTTCAAAACAGTTCAACAGAAATACTTATGTTTTAACTATGCACGAGCCGCAAGCGTTACTAACATGAAGGCAAACCTTAAACTACGATCATTATCATTCCGCCGTAAATGCGTAAAATGTTTCGTTTGTGTCCCTCTTATCGCATATTTCATCATCGTTCGTTACGCAATGACCTCATCTTACCTCCTCAGTAGATATCGTCACGCATTGATCACCGACATAAGGTTGCTGTTCTTTTTTGCAGGACATCCACTTTCCGTTATTAATTTTTTCTTAGGAGTTGCGAGGAGTGAAACCACCTTCATGCTATATCCGCAGATATTACTAACCATCAAATTTTTGGACAGTTTTAACTACTAATAAATAATTAGTTTTGGCTGATGTATATTGTGTTGTCGTTGTTCACGATTTTTTGGTATAATACTGTATGTATTGGATATTTTTGTCGTTTATTAATATTATTTTTAATAGAACACTGCTTTGTAACCAATTTCTTATGTAATGCTTTTGCCCTGACGGTACAATAAACGAAAAAAAAAATGAAACACTTGTTGCAGGCCATGTGTGGCTTATGACGAGACTGACGTCACCTTACTCCCTGCACCCATCACTCACGGATCCGGCTTCTTGTGGACAATGATGACTGTGCTGGACGGAGTTGTCTGCGTACTCACAGCTCCACGAATCACGCTGCCAGAGTTCGCCGATATTGTTAACAAGTACCAGGTGACCTGTCTTTCAGGACTTTTCGCCGGCTGTCGCCAGTGTTGTAGCGCCAATAACGTATAGAGATTTCTGATTTTCTTGGTTTATAATGTCCTATTCTACTCTTTTCCGCATTAAAGTCTACACAAACAGTGTTGGCACGGGACGACCACTCATCAGTGTTACCTCACATAGTCTATTGTCAACGGGAATGATGAGCAAATAGCTATGAGAAATGCCAATGTAACTACATTTGTTGAGGTATTTGTATAGACAAGATATCGTAGCGCAAGGCGGTGTTGATTTAGACTGCGTTCCAGCAAGTATGTTGCCGTCGTCAAGGCAGCATATGTTTTTTTACGAACTTCACTTTTTGAAAAGTATGCCCGTGTCAAATAATTTTCCAACTGTTCAAACTTCCGAGTTTCAGCCTCAGTTGCTCTGAAGTATTTCAGTAGATATTGCGGCAAGCACAAGTGCGGCGAACACGTGAGTGTGTGGAGAATAGCCTGAAACCATAATAAGACCGATGCTGGCATCGCGCTGCCGCATATAAAGGGCTAAGGTTAATGCTTTTCTGTGTTTTGTTTCGATGCCCTACCTAACGTGTGTCTTTAATATGTGCTTAGTGTGTCACTGAAATTACAGCTTGATAATTCAGCACCTGTTGCAGTGTTCACGCGCAGCAATTAGTAGCATTGTCATTGTTATAATTTTTGATAATTTATTGTTCTCTATCTTGGTTGCATGTGCCACACGTGCACGCACAAGCAAATGGAAGGCGAAATTTGCGAGAAGCTACTATACACCTTTTCACACGACAGTAACACCCCCTTTGTGAACTGTGGCACTAGGTACAAAGGCTGCCGTCACATCGTCGGCAATGCATTTTTCGGAAGTTACGCCTATTCAGCAAAAGCTCATAATGTGGACTTCCGCGATGCCCAGGTTGACTGAAATAACACTTACCCGCTATGCTTGGCACCTTGGCCTAATACTCGCGAGTGGTCCACATTGCACAATCAGCTGCATTTTATAGTCAAAAGCACTTCAGAAGCTTGGCTTGTCACTCATTCGTAGATTTCATGGGTTGGATTACGCTCACAATGAGAGCGTCAATACAGTTCTAAAGTAAGTCTTGAACGAGTTGAAAAACTCGTAGCGGATGGTTACCCAATATCAGTGGTAGACTGCATTTGAATCCTGAAACTACGCGCACAGTCGAACTGGTACAAGTGGCGAAACATTAAGAATGCTTGAACACAGTGTCCAGCGAAAACAATGAGGCTCATATCGTGCATAGCGAACCGCAACAACGGCATGAAGGAAGCGAACCTAATTCTTCTCATACAGCATTTCGTTGTTAGCAAGATAACATACGTAGCTCCCTACCTAAACCTTAGGAAAGCCAAAAAAGCCAAAATTGATGCGAGCCTATAAACAAGCTTTAGGACTGCCCATGCTAATACCTAATGACAAACACTCAGCACTGGGGCTCCATAATACTCTTAAGAAACTTATAGAGGCTCAATGAATAACTCAATACGAAAGACTTGCGTAAAGCCCATACGGGAAGGCAAATACTTAGTAATCTCAGCATCAACTACGCCTTACAACACGGTCTTAACACCAATAAACCGCATGAAACCAGGAAAAATCTTACGTACCACCGCTGCTGAAGAGCATGCACCCAGAATATAACAAAGAATGGGGATTGAAACGCTCAAAAGCAATTAAAACAGATTCTCACACTTAGCAGATGCTGTCAACGTGCACGCAGCGAAATATGCGCATTTTTGTGACATGGTAATTGCAGTAGTAGACAACGATGGTGCCCTAGAGGCTAGCAGTTCCATCCGAACCGGTAGCGTGTGAGCTGCGGAAGAATCCACTATCGCATTGGCCATAGGTTGCACGCAGGCTTAAGGTATAATCAGGGACTCCAAGGCCACAGTCAGAAACATTTGCAGTGGGTGAATCTCCCTAGAAGCACAAAGGATATCGGTCAGCGTTCGAGACCGCAGAAAAGTTTAAATTGTTTGGACGTCTGCAGGCTCCTCTCTTCCTCGCTACTAAACGGCTCACACCGTGGCTCAAGGACTCACACGCAGAGCCATTTAGACGCCCTCACTAGGTAGGAGAGGAGATCACGTGGTCGCCTACAAGGAAATCACAAACCATTACTGATTGGAAAGAGCCCGGTATCCTCCCATGCACCGCACACTTATGCAAGCAGCAAGCGGTGGCAAGGCGCCTCCTTTAAACAAATAAGTACGCGATCCTGTTGGCCTATAGCCTCTATTACATAGGTCAATACACCGACAGGTGCAAATTATGTAAGGAAAGGATGGAGCTACCTCACATACTGTGGCCTGTCCAAAGGGGGTCCGACAGGGTCTCACAACTGATAATGTTGAGCAGTGGGAGACCTTGCCTAAGCTCAGACCCAAAAAGCAACGGATGGCGATTCGACGCACCAAGGACGCCGCCAGGGCTCAAGGGCTCCTGGCTGACACCTAGGCATGGGCTACACACTACTGAGGTAACCGAAGTTTTAAAGTAAAACTTTCCCCCTCCTCCTTGAACGAGTTGAAGTGTATGAACATTGTCGACAATACCACAAGTAATAAATATAACCAATTGAACGCAGTTATTAGCATATAAACGCTAAGGATGCTGTAGAAACATACGGTCGACGCACACACGACGATAGAAAGGGTGCCACCACGTCACCACGTGAGTGACTGCGTCTCTCGTTGGCGCTTCTGAGGTGCGTACATATCTCAATCCGAAAGGGAAAATAACCTGACGGAATTGCCCCCGGCCGACACGTCGCTCAAAGTTCTGAAGAAGCAGGATGCCGACACCAATAGGCAGATATAACCAATAGGCAGATATAACCAAAAGCAATAGGCAGATATAACAATAGGCAGATATAACCAAAAGAACACAAGGAACTACACTGTTTTTATTGCGTTATGCCCTGTCGCATAGCGCTATTTCCTGCATACGCAGTAACATGAAAAACATACCACAAATGATTTGCCTTCGCTATAATCATCTCATTTTTGTACGCGCACTATAATGTTTGTCGACGTAGTCAACTTATCGTCTGTGCCAATTTACACGTATGCGATTTATTGAAGTAATCTAGTTTCGGGAAGTACTTGTGGTTAGTCATTTGTACTTTGTTGAAATAGTGAGCACTTATGTCTGACTTCCGAACACCTTAGCGGGGTCGTATGGCGAAGAAGGAACAATAAAAAGAACAAAGTAATTTTTATTATTGTGCATAATTAATATTTTCATATATCAACAGGACCTATTTCGCTTCATCACGTTAAAAATTGAATTGATTATTATCGCACCTATTATTTCTCTGGACGTTGCAATATTGCTGGCGTCTGCTAAGGGGGCATGATTTCGTAATATATATTGCTGTATTCTAAAAATGCCTGAAGCCTACCGGGACTAGTTTAGGAAAATTGCATTAAGTTCAGTGTAGCAAACACATAGATAAGATTACCTTCCGACCCCAAAAGTCACACTCGCATTTAATTGCTGGAGTTCTGTTACCAATCTTCAAAAATGAAACCGGTAACCGCAGAATTACCATAAGTAAGTTTCGCCCAAAAGGGCGAACAAATGAATGCGGTATTGAGAAATTGGAAGGTTACACCTTCCATGGCTTGCAGCTAACTTCTTTACTATGTAAGTAGGATAATGGAAAAATAATCACAGCATATCCACGGAGTGAATGATGGAGAGTGGGGCGAAGCATCCGTCCGTCCATTCGTTGTTGCTTCCGTCCGTCCACGCGTGCGTCTGTGTGGCCGTTCGTGCGTCCATCCGCGCACGTACATGCGTGCGTCTGTTCGTGCGTCCGCACGTCCATCTGTGCGTCCATCTCTGCGTTCGTGTATGCATCCGCTCCTGCGTCCATTCATGCGTCCATCCGTCCGTGCAGCCATTCATGCGTCCGTCCTTGCAACTGTCTGTGTGTTCCGTTCGTCCACCTATTCAACACTCCAAGTACCACCATCTCGCATCTTTTCATCATATATTCCTCATATAGAAGCACCGCCATACAGCGGAAATTCTAAGGACTGAACGAGAGAAAGCACACGCACACTTTCTTACGGCTTGCGCATTGTGTCTACTTCCCACGTTTAACCAGCGCGAGCTCATGATATATACTAGTTCACTGTATTCATGGCACTGTGGCCAACTGCTCGCTAATCCTTTTCTAAAACCTAGGAGGTTACGCCCAGCGAGTATAACGTAGCAACCCTTTCTCGTCAGATAGTGCTCAATGTACATGCCAAAGGCTGCTAAGGGGGAATGAGAGACAGGAGAATTAGGCGTTTAGTTAACGCGCACGCTGCGAATTTTTTATTGTTCAACAACGCAGAGAAGAAATCTCCCACCGGCCCCACCTTGGAGGTCAAAATGTAAAACTGGTCACACACTACTTCTACGACTACGAGGGACGAACGGTTGCCGATATAAGGAGCTTCGCCCCTAAAAAAATGGCAGATCACATGTATAGTGAGAATCGATGATATGCGAAGCATGAATAAGAAAGCTTGATATGCCACTTTAAAATGAGGGCAACATTACGAGGTGGAGGTAAATGATGCCATACGGGACTTCCGTGTCTTGATTATCATGTTTGAATGTGTTGTTTACCTTTGTCATTTATTCACGTCACGTGATACCAAATTTAGCATACTGTGGAGCTAGCAAAACGGCCTCGAGCACGCTATGAGCGTGGTATGTTGTCATGTTCTTACATGACACACGTGTCAGAATTATCATGTTTGCATCAGTCATATACTTCGTCATGCATTGACGTCACAGAACACCTAATTTGTTAGATGTGGAGCCTTGCAAAACGGCCACGAGTGCATCATGAAGGGCCCATTATACCTCAATGTAGTGTTGACGCGCGCGCACGCTGGGCGCAGCGTCGCGCGAAATTTGTGCCGATGTGTTTCCCAGACGACACTGCGTGCCCCGTC